CTTTGAGAGAGCCTCTGCCTAGATTTCAGGGTATGTATGGAAATGCCTGAATGTCCAGGCAAAAGTCTGCTGGAGAGGAGGAAACCTCATGGAGAACCTCTCCTAGGGCAATGCAGAGGGGAAATGTGGGGTTGGAACTTCCACATAAAGTCTTCCACTGAGGCACTGCCTAGTAGAGCTCTGAGAAGAGGGCCACCATCCTCCAAAACCCAGAATGGTAGATCCACTGACAGCTTGCACTGTGCACTTGGAAAAGCCACAGGCACCTGGAAAAGCCAGCCCATAAAAGCAGCTGCAGGGGTTGGACCCTGCAGAGCCACAGGGGCAGAGCTGCCCAAGGCCTTGGGAGCCCAGCTATTACATCAGCTTGTCCTGGATGTGAGACATGGTCTCAAAGGAGATCATTTTGGACTTTTAAGATTTAATGAGTGCCCTGTTAGGCTTCAGACGTACATGGGGCCTGTAGCCCCTTTGTTCTGGCCAATTTCTCCCTTTTACAATGGGAACATTTACCCAGTGCCTGTGCTCCCAAAGAATCTAGGAAGTACTTAACTTGCTTTTGATTTTACACGCTCTTAGGCAGAAGGGCCTTGTCTCAGACGAGACTTTGGACTTGGATTTTTGAGTTAATGTTGGAATAAGTTAAGACTTTGAGAAACTGTTGAGAAGGCATGATTGGTTTTGAAATGTGAGAAGGACATGAGATTTGGGAGGGGCCGGGGTGGAATGATATGGTTTGGCTGTGTGTCTTCACCCAAACCTCATCTCAAATTGTAATCCTCATGTGTCAGGGAAGGGACGCGGTGGGAGATGATTGGATCACGGGGTGGTGTCCTTCATGATGTTCTCATGACAGTGAGTTCTCATAAGATCTGATGGTTTAAAAGTGTGGCACATCCCCCTTTGCTCTCTCTCTCTCACCACCACGTAAGATGTGCCTTGCTTCCCCTTCACATTCCACAATGATTGTAACTTTTTTGAGGCCTCTATAGCCATGTGGAACTGTGAGTCAATTAAATCACTTCTTTATAAATTATCCAGTCACAAGTAGTTCTTTATAGCACTGTGAAAATGGACTAACACAACCAGTGATTCCTAACCTTTTGAGAATATCACCCCAGTCATGTTTTATTTTGCAATGTTCCTTCTTCAAGAAGCTAAATATCCATAGCCATTCATTCAACCAATCTTCACCCCATGACCACTCTATTTAACATACCACTGCATTATGGAAATGGCCCTTCACTATTTTCTCCACCCAAGACAGGCTTTTTCATTCATCCTTTGATCATGCAACATCTATACAGGCAACTATATTTGGGATTATTTAAAAATGAACCTTAAATCATGAAATTATAGAGATGGCCAGATTAATTAAATATAAGCCCTTCAAATTTATAAAATACAAATTTCTTCATTCAATTAGGTAAATTTGCAAACTAGTGACTTCTGATAATTTTATAGTAACCCAGGCTGTTTTAATTCTTTCAAGACGTCTCATGAAGATTTTAATTTATAAATCTATATTAATGTAAACATACCCATGCATAAATCCAGGATCATTTATATCAAAAGTGTTCTACATGATTTCTACTAGAGATTTTTACTCTTTAAGAAATGTAACAATCTATACTTACTTGTTTAGTAATATGTCTCTCTTAAAAGCATGCTATAAATCAATTAGCTTTGAACCTAGACCAGAGGAAAACTCAGGATCCCTTTCATTTCTGTGATTTATTTGAATCTAACCATATTCAAAGATAGGCAAACCTAACGCTAACATTTTTCATTCCCATTACCTCAAATTCATGTCTATTCTGGTTTGATAAAATGTTTATAGTATAAGGTAATAAAACAAAGACAACATAATGTACTTAATGAATCTTCTACCCTACTAGGGTATAAAAATAGGAAGACTAACAGCTAACTCTTAATGAGCGCTATGTGCCAGGATAAGTTCTCTGGACATTTTTTCTCATTTAATCCTTACAACGCATGTATATGAAGCAAATAAATTATCTTTTAACAACAGAACTAGGACTAGCTTTTGTTTATGACATATTTTTGAAATCCTCACCTGTATCACACACACATCACTGCAAAAATGAGTGAGAGAAAGCTGGATCTCCCTGAGCTTCAGCTTTCCTATCAGGTTATACAACTGTACCATTCTTTATTTCTGGAAATTTCCTGTGGTTCCAAAAAATGTTATAGTTGTAGAAAATTTTCAGCATTTTGGATGTGCAATTTCCATCTTATTGTGTTCCCTCACATATGGTGTTCTTGCTCAAAGAGCATCAGTATTTTTAACTTGCACAATATTAGTAACTGCTTTGAATTATTCTTCATTGACAAGCATCCAAATATCTTTCACAAATTAGAAAATTACATGTATTATTTAGGCTAGTGTGTTCATTGATTTTTCAGACAAATTTGCCAGTAGAATCACTGTATTTTTCATTTGGAAGAGATCACAAAGACAACTTAATATGAAGTTATCTCTTTTTACAAGTGAAAATCTACAATGCAGAGAGGTTTAAGTGTCTCTCCTAGGTCAAATGTTTCGTTAGTAGTAAAAACCACTAATCGCAGCCCAGCTGTTTTCTGCATAAAAATGTTAATTATTCATATTTTTATACATCACTCTGCAGAAGATGCATCAGGAATAATTGGCACATTATAATACAATATTATCATCAGTATTACAATGTAATACTTGCATCTATCAATTATGTAATATTTTGTATATCATTGCTGTTTTGTTCACAGTTTTTGTTTTGTTTTTTGTTTTTTTTTACTGTATGTCTTATGTCCCTAACTAGAGTGGGACTTCCTTGTGGTAGGCACAATTTGTTTTTTAAATGTTTCCCATAGCTTTTGGTAAGTCTTAGACATATGCAAACTGCTTAACAGAGATTGACATAAACATAATTAAAACTAATACCATATTGCTCAAAATACAGGCAAATGACTAATTCTATGGAAGCAGGTGAATTTGTTGGTCTGAAAGGAAAAAGTTGAGAAATTGCCCTCATTTCTTATCAAGCCCTGAGATTGTTCTTGAGGGTAAGTGGTTTTAGGCCTTGAAGAGATTGGTGAAGGAAACAGAAATTAGAGGGAATGATGAGGGAGTTGACTAACCCTGAAGGACACAAGGCAGCATATGCAGATCAAATTGATCAATACAAACAATAATGACAAAGCACTAAGCATCCGGCACGGCTGTCAGTATTTTGCCTATATTAAATCAGCTACCCCTCACAACAACCCTAGGTATTTTTCCCATTTTGTGGATGAAAAAAAGTTGAGGCTCAGAGAGGTTAGGTCATTTGCCCAAGCGAACTGGCTAGTAAGTGGTAGAGCCAGGTTTCAAACACTGACTGCTCAGGGCCTACGCTCCTATTCACATGTGATGGTCAGGATAAGACCAGATAAGCAGATGGTGTGGTTAACACAATGCCTAACAAATGCCTGCTCCCATAGTGGAAGCTCAATTGATATTAGTTCCCCCTGCTTTCTGGTTTTCAACCCACTGGCCCCATATTTATTTACTCAGCCACTCCTTACTCACCAAACACACACACACACAATGACACATTCACACACACTCCAGTCTTTTTTTTTTTTTTTTTTTTCCCGAGACAGAGTCTCGCTCTTTCGCCCAGGCTAGAGTGCAGTGGCATGATTTCGGATCTCTGCAACTTCCGCCTTCCAGATTCAAGCGATTCTCCTGCCTCAGCTCCTCAGTAGGTGGGATTACAGGCACCTACCACGACATTCGGCTAATTTTTTGTCTTTTTTAGTAGAGACAGAGTTTCACGATGTTGGCCAAGCTGGTCTCAAACTGGCCTCGTGATCCACCCGCCTGGACCTCCCAAGTTGCTGGGTTTACAGGCATGAGCCACCGCGCCCAGCCACACTCCAATCTTTTAACAACAAAGTCCACACTCAGGTATCTAGGTCAGTAGGTGTCAAATCCATACATATATTCTTCTTCGTGATGGGATTTTAGATCACATACCTAAAATGAGTCCTAGGACCAACCTCCGCTCTTCCATCACTCTCCAAGGTGACTGTAAATACACACATGAACACTGACTCTGGATTCCAAACATATGCACATGCCTGATATAAGGCAGAAGTCAACTCTGGACTTTTCTTTTTCCATTATCCGGGGAAATGCATAAGTTACCATGACAGATGCCAAAGAGACCCTTGGCTCTGGTAGTGGAAATTGGGAGACAATGGTGAAATGAAGTAAGAAATTCCAGAGCCACAAGGTGCATGCAAGTCAGCAACGACTTTTCCCACGAGCTTGCTCTTTTGGCGTAAGTGCCACACGTAGGAGCCCCAACCCGCTGCCTAAGCCACCCTATTCTGAAACCCGCTCAGGCTGCAACAGATGCACACACCGCGGGGAGCCTCATCTGCAGGAGATGAGCGTTCCCTTGCTCTATTTTAATCCTGGCAGCCCAGCCGGGGAAGGTTTTGTCAGAAATGGTGGAAAACAGTGACCACATAGCTTTCTGGAGTAAAGGCTAGGCAGCTCAGGAGCAGCGAATCACAACTAGCCCAGTATTTAATAATTCAAGGGAAAACAAGTTTCCTTCCCGCCGGCCGGCACTTTTGCAGCCAGCTCGGGCAGCCGTGGCAGCGCCTGGGCGACGACCTTCCTGGCTCTGAAGGGCGGGCGCGGCGGAGACGCGGCAACACTGCCCCACAGCTCCGGAAGCGGCCTCTCACCGGTCCTCAAGGACCGAATCCGTCCTGATAAACACCCCTCCTGGCCCTACACGGGAAGGGCAAGTTCAAACGCCAGGCCCGGATCCCGCACGCCTAGACACCCGGCCAGTCACCCCCGACCCCCGCCCTCCTCGCCGCGCAGTCGCGGAGTGAACGGCAGTCCAGCGCCAACCAGACTGACTGCGCCTGCGCACTCAAGCTCCTTTCCCCAGCCGACCGCCCGTCGCTTAGCAACGCGCGAGTCACAGTCGCTGCGTTCTGCGCGGGCTGCGTCCCTGTTCTTCCCGGGAGGCTCCTCGCCGCCTGGTGCTGTAGAGGCCCATGGAGGGAAAGGAAGATAAGCATCAGTAAGTGCTGGGGTTTGGTGTCTTATTTCCCCTCCCAAAAACCACTTTCCTCCTTCAGGGGGAGGTCGGGGTCCTCAGCATGGACCGTCCAGGCCAAGCTCAGACAGGCCCCTTGCTGCCTCTGATTGCCAGTTGGCTGAGCGCGTACAACAATAATTTTTAAAAAGCACCATTTACTGAGCACATGCTCTGTGTCGGGGACTTGACGTGCATTACCAGGTCTAAAATTCTTGAAGTCATCCACTCCTCACACTTATTAGCAGATGCTGTAGGCTTTACCTTTAAAATTATCCAGAATCTACCACCGTTCATCACTTTCAGTACTGTCCCCACCCTGTCCCAAGTACCAGTTTCTCTTGCCTGGATGCTGCAGCCGCCCTCCAGCTTTGCTTTTTCCTTACCCTTCTGCAGCCTCCTCGACACAGCAGTCAGAGCGGTCCTCTTAAAGCCCAGGTTAGATCGCAGTCTCTATCGGACGTCATAGGGTAAAAGCCAAGGCTCCTCCAATGGCCCCTTCCGTTTCTTGGCCTTATCTACAGCTTGCCTCCCTCTGACAGGGCTCTGCTACAGCAAACGGGCCTTTCTGCTATCATCTGCAGTGATTCAGACCAGCATCAGCAGCACCTGGGAACTTGTTAGGAATGCAAATTTTGAGGACTCCCCACCCCACAGACATACTGAATCAGAAACTCTACGGCTGGGGCTCAATAATCTGGCTTTAAGCAAGGCATTCACTATATTCTGATGTACCTTAAAATTTGAGACTATTAATCAAGGCAGTACATACAGCTAGTTAGGAATGATGTGGAGCCAGGGATACCTTCTTCCAAAGCCTGTATTTTTGTTCCTAGAACACAAATGGTTCTCACACATTAACGTGCATAAGAATCAGCTAAACAGCTGGTTAAAACATGTTCCTGTGAACCAGCCCCAGAGATTCTGATTCAGCTGGTTGAAATGGGGCCCATAAATTTGTATTTCTAACAAGGTCACAGTTGATACCAATCATACTTTCAGAAGCACTGCACTAAGGATGGTTCTGCTGCGAGCTTTGGCAGTTACAGTTCACTCTACTGGAATGCTTTTCCCACAAATATCCACTTAGTTCTCTCCTCCCCTCTTTCTGTTTTCAATTGCCACCTTCACAGTGCAGCCTCCACCCTACTTAAAAATGCAAACCTACCTCCCACATACCTGCACTCCCTTTTCCCGTTCCCTACTTTATTATTGTCCTTGGCACTTAACAGATGATGTAATTTACTTTTTCATCTACCTTCCCCATTAGAATGTAAGCTCTGTGAGGGCAGGATTTTTTTGTTTTGTCACTGCTTTATCATCTGTGCCAACAACAGCACCTGGCATGCAACTCAATAAATATCTGTTGAAACAATCAATTGTTCAGTCTTATTCTCATATCGCTCACAATAGGTATTATTGTGCCTATCATGCAAATGAGGAGACCAAGGCTCAGATATTAAATGGCAGAACAGGGATTCCAGTCCCAGTCCAACTCACTTCAGAGCCCATCACTGTTTTTATCTGTGCTTTTCTTGGGGCAAGAGATTGCTAGAGTCGTATATTTCACGCTTATTTATCAACCCATAGGCACACACCACAAGTGCTTAATCAAGTGAATTTAACTATATAAGCAAATAGCCCCAGTCCTTTACTTCAAGGACTTGATCACCAAAAGGTATACTGTTGAGGGATAACTGTGAGAAACAGGTGGAAAAAACTGATACCCGAAGTCTACAATAAAAAATTAATTGACCCCAAAGTCTCTACCTTTAAATGAATAGCTATATCTCCAGAAAGGTAGTAGAAAAAGGTTTAGAAGTTCTTTACATTTTACCAGTAATCAGTTTTTCCATATCCTTTGCAGAGAGGAATTTTTGTTGGGAAGCAGGGAACTAGAATCCAAGAATTCTGAATGTTGTTTTTATATGTATTGGAGGGGTCTTTGAGGGTATTTAAACAAAGCTGGAGTAAACAATTCCAGGAGATTCACCAGAAATATGTAAGTCTTACAATGGTAGTCCATTTACGTTTGATCAACAGAACACTTTTCCTGATGTTGGGTACATGATGAATGAAACAATCTGCACCTTCTATGGAACTTATTGACTAATAAAGGGTATTTGTAGTACTTAGTAAAAACAAAAAGCTAGGTACATAAAAAATTATGGTGTTAATAAAAGAAATGAACAACGTACTAAAATAGAGAATACATGCGGTAGGGGGAAGGCAATCTAGGAAAAGCTGCCAAGGAGATGGTTTTAAGCTGAGACCTAAATATCATGAGCCAGCTGTGCTGGGAGCTGGGGAAGACCTGTCCTGGCAGAGGAAACAGCATGTGCAAATGCCCTGAGGGAAAGCGGTTGGTGTGTTCCTGGAACTGACAGAAGGCAGTCTTATGGGAGAGTCTTGAGTGAGGTTGAAGAGATTCACTGGGGCAAGTCACATAGGACCGTAGAGCTATAATTAGAAGGCAGTATTTTATTACAGATGAATGGAAAGCTACTTGAGGGTTTTAACTGAAAAGTGATGTGGGCCAGGCATGGTGGCTCACTCCTGTAATCCCAGCACTTTGGGAGGCCGAGGCAGGCAGATTACAAGGTCAGGAGTTTGAGACCAGCCTGGCCAACATGGCGAAACCCTGTCTCTACTTAAAAAAATACAAAAATACAAAAATTAGCTGGGCATGGTGGTGCATGCCTGTAATCCCAGCTACTTGGGAAGCTGAGGCAGGAGAATCGCTTGAACTCAACAGTTCAAGGCGGAGATTGCAGTGAGCTCAGATAGCACCACTGCACTCCTGCCTGGGATAGAGCGAGACTCAGTTCTCAAAAAGAAAAAAAAATGACATGGTAGAAGAGTGGACCTGGCATTCGTTTGAAAGAAGGCAGGTGTTACACTTTAAGGGCTGTGTATGATGCTAAATGGTACTACTGCTTTCTCTGTGAATTTGGAATTTCATTGACTCATCTGCTGTGGGATCACAGCTTTGATTTTTAAAAGCTATGTAAAAAGTATTCAAATTCATATATTTCATTCTTTGTTTTTCAAGTATGTGAATTTTAAAAATACTGCCTTTTATAATTTCAATTTCTCCTTATTTGAAAGGAGAAAAATTTGATTTTCTTCCTAAACATTAAAAAAATTTTTTTTCATTTTAGTAATTCTTACATTTCTATCAGTATACTTAACTAGAGGCAAAAAAATGACGAGATTGAATTGAGTTTGACTGCCTACATAGTGTTCTTTTTTTGAAAAGATAAATAATGGTGCTCCTTTGGTAGCTTTAAGTTTGCCAGACAAGTTTTTAAAATCAACTAGTTTATCTTTGTCCAGATAGCTGTTTACTAGATAAAGAGGGGACTAAATTACTAATATTACTATTCTCTTGGTAATAAAACTTCTAAAGAAGATGAGTTAAGTATAGCAGGTAACTTATCCATACACGTAAGTACTGCAAACATGATTTGGAAGCACAAATCCAATCACTACTCTCTTTCTCCAAGCAAATGAGAGTTGGTACTCTGCACTGGTATAACGAGTAATCATTACTAACACAAATCCATTTATCACTTATATGATAGAATTAGAAAATGGCCTCCTAAATTTTAAGAGCACAGACTCTTATAACTATTAATACAGCCTAAATTGTCTTGACTGATGTTTGTAATATATTTAAATCTTACGTAATTTTGACTCAATGTTGTAATGATTACTGGGGCAAATGATTTACTATTTATGTTTTTCAGAAAGCATAAAATAGAGGATGGTGCTATGGCATATGTAACTGAAAATAAAGAAGAAATTAAACATGAAAAAAACCCTGGACAAAGCATACGACATTCAAAACCACGTGTCGGAAGAGGACGTATATATTATGCTAAATTCATTAACACAAATGCAAGAACATACAATGAACCAGTTCCCTACATAGATCCCAAAAAAGGGCCAGAAATACAGGTTGGAGAGATGTTCATTGTATACAAATAGTGATTTCGATTCAGATGCTGTTTCACAGAATAATTTGGTCACAGACGATAAAGGATGAGACACATCTCAGTAGTACTTACCATAATCCAATAGTTAAAAGCAGTAACCTGGAACTATTCTGGCAGATAACTTTTACATATAAACAGTACAGACACAGGGAGGGAATCTAAATAATTGTTTATCTAGACTGGGTCAGATTATTGCCATGAAGTAGTGCTTTGGGGTTACTAAAGAAATTTCATGTATATATTGTATTTATGATATATATCCTAATATAAAAATATCCCATGATATTCAGTAGTTCACATATCCTCTGTAAAATAATAACCATTTATTGAAAGCATATGAAGTTCTAATGAGCTAAGCATTTTATATGTTATATTCTTTCATCTCTGCAACAATTTCTGTGAAGTCTTATTGGATATAGTTTACAGATAACACATATTCTGATGAGGTTAATTAGCATATCTGAGGTTATGTAATAAGCAAATGTCACAGTCATATTTCTGATCCAGAGCTGTTGGTTTAGCCAAACCACACTTCATTGACTATGCCATACTAAAAATATTCCATTATGTTTTTTATAAAGTCAGGTTTGTTGAGGTACAATTTATTGTATTTGTTTCCTATTGCTGATGTTACAAATTTTCACAAACTTAAAAGCTGGTTAAAGCAGCACAAATTTATTCTCTAGCTCAAAATTCCAAGGTCTGTCTCACTGGCTGTGGCCAGGCCTGGTTTTTTCTGTAGGCTCTAAGAGTGAATCGGCTTCCCTGCCTTTTCCAGCTTCTACATGCTGCCCACATTCCTTGGCTTATGGCACCTTTTTCTTCAAAGCCAGCAACACAGCATCTTCAAATGTTTCTCTGACCCACTCTCCTGACTCTCTCTTATAAGGACCCTTGTGATTAGATTGGACCTACTCAGATAATTCAGGATAATCTCCTCATCTCAAGATCCTTCATCACATCTGCAAAGTCCCTTTGTCATGCAAGGTAACATTCACAGGTTTGGGGCTTAAAAGATGAATGTCTTGGCCAGGCGCGGTGGCCCAAGCCTGTAATCCCAGCACTTTGGGAGGCCGAGGCGGGTGGATCACGAGGTCAAGAGATCGAGACCATCCTGGTCAACATGGTGAGACCCCGTCTCTACTAAAAATACAAAAAATTAGCTGGGCATGGTGGCGCGTGCCTGTAATCCCAGCTACTCAGGAGGCTGAAGCAGGAGAATTGCCTGAACCCAGGAGACGGAGGTTGCGGTGAGCCGAGATCGCGCCATTGCACTCCAGCCTGGGTAACAAGAGCGAAACTCGGTCTCAAAAAAAAAAAAAAAAAAAAAAAAAAAAAAAAAGATGAATGTCTTTAGGGACAGAGGGAGAATTATTCTACTTAACTTTACACAGTAAATTAGTCACCCTTACGGTATATAATTCTCTGGATTTTGGCAAAGGTGTAGTCATGTTACTCCACCACAATCAAGCCATGAATCATTTCCATCACCCTCAAAAGTCCCCGTATGCCCTTTTGAGGTCATCCCCTTCCTCTACTCCAACAACCACTGATCTGCTTTCCATAGTTTTGCCTCTTCCAGAAAGTCATGTTAATGGGATCATACAGTATGTAGCCTACTGAACCAGTCTTTCAGAATAAAGCATTTGGGATTTGCCCATGTTGCTGCCGTGTGTCACCAGTTCATTCCATTTTGTTGCTGCAACGCACATGCCATGTGACTTTGGGCAAGTCACTCTAAGCTTCAGTTTCCTTCTTTATATAATAAGGAGAGTAATGGTCCCTCTCATAGGGTTTTTGTGAGAATTAAAGTATTTTTGTCAGTTACTGTTTTAGACACTAGAGATACAGCAGTGAACAAAGCAAATGGGGAAAAAAATCCTGTCCTTACGTAGCTTACGTTTTAGGGAGGGAATAGCTAAAACAAGTAAGCTGTACTGAAATGTTACATGGTAGTAAGGGTGGCATGCAAGGCAGGATAAGGAATGCTGCAGGCAGAGCGGCAATTTTAAATCGATGGTCCAAGAAGGCCTCACTGAGTCACATTTGAGTGAAGACCTGAGGGAGAGTGAGGGAGTGAGCCTGCAGGAACGTGGCGGAAGAGCATTCATAATGCACAAAGGAAGCACTCACTAAACATTAGCTCTTAGTAGCAGCAGAATCCTAGTCTACTGCTCTTTGCACAGTGATGGGGACTGAGGAGCCCACCATCTGCCGCTGAGAGCAGGATCCTATGAGAGAAGACCTAGCACAGTGCTGGGCCCAGCAAGTGTTCAGCAGATGGGATTCAAAATATGCCACAGCAAAGGTAATGACAATTTCACATGTAGATTTGTTTCAGCATGGTATTTGGAAAAGGAATTGGGTACCATCCAAATGGTCTCAGACAACCGTGCCAGTGTCAGCCTCCTACAACTCCACTTCCCTCCCCATCCTTCTGTGCGTTAGGTACAGCAGCGACTGAACACTGAGATGGAGACTGCTTCTGGTGAGCGCTCCTCATACTGATCACATCTGTTCTTGTCATAGACGGCATACCATGGCAGTGTGTGTGAATGTGAGATCTTCTTGGGGCAGGAATTCCTGTGGTTAAATGTACTTCTAATTTCATGAGCTAAACGCTTCTAAGGGCCATATTGAGGGTACTTCATTTTGTAAACTTGTTTCTGCTCTCGTAGCAATTATTTCAGATTTTAAAGAAATCAGTTGTTATTGTTAAACCAGACCTACACTGGAGAAATTAATTTGGTACTGAAATACAGATTAGTGAAGTTCTTTTATTTCTTACAAAGGTTCATGAATTACTCCGAAGTCTAGTTCAGGACTGAGTTTAAAACTGTTCACTGAACTCATCCTTACATTAGCGATACTAAGAAAAAGAAGCTGGGTTGAGTACAGAAATATGAAACATAAAAGTTTAAAAACTTAATCCCAACTAATTTTCTCTTATTCTTCCTACTCCATAGGTATATTGGGAAAAAAAAATGAACAAAGGTGTTAAGAGCTGCTATCAGCAAGACTAGGTGACAGAGCAGTAGAATCATCATTATTAGTGCTGGACCTTTAAGTGATGGTGAAAGTGAGTTTGAGATGAAGTAGGAGCTCAGATAAGGGAAGTCGGCAGTGAATATGAATAAGGAGAGATACAGAGAAAGATTGAAAATACATCACGGAGTTACAAGCATGTCTGATTTGGGTGTGGCAGGAAGGGAATGTTTATATTTTTAAAACATTCTGGGCAACATGGTGAGTCGCTATCTATACAAAAAACTTTTTTGTAAAATAGCTGGGTGTAATGGAGTATGCCTGTGATCCCAGCTACTTGAGAGCCTGAGGCAGGAAGATTGCTTGCACCTGGGAAGTCAAGGCTGCAGTGAGCTGTGTTTATGCCATTGCACTCCAGCCTGAGTGACAGAGTGAGACCCTATCTGTGTAAGCCACTGCGCCCAGAAAGAAAATAGTCTGGGCACAGTGGCTCACACCTGTAATCACAGCACTTTGGAAGGTCAAGGCAGGAGGATAACTTGAGTCCAGGAGTTTGAGACCTGCCTGGGCAACATAGTGAGACCCTGTCTCTAGAAAAACAATAATAATAATAATAATAATAAATAGCCAGGTGTGGTGGCATGCCTCTGTAGCCCCAGCTATTCAGGAATCTGAGGCAGTAGGATGGCTTGAGCTCAAAAGTTCAAGGCTACAGTGAGCAATGATCATGCCACTGCATTACAGCCTGGGCAACAGAGCAAGACCCTATCTCTAAAAACAAATTTAAAAATAAAATAAAAATCAGAAACAACAATGAACCTTAAATGTACTCATTTTCAAGTATTCAAGGACTAATAAAGAATGTATATTTCACATATTTGTAAACTATTCCTTCCTTTAAGATGACAGGTTTCTTTTTTTTTTTTTTTTTTTTTTTTTTTGAGACAGAGTTTCGCTCTTGTTACCCAGGCTGGAGTGCAATGGCGCACGATCTCAGCTCACCGCAACCTCTGCCTCCTGGGTTCAGGCAATTCTCCTGCCTCAGCCTCCTGAGTAGCTGGGATTACAGTCACGCACCACCATGCCCAGCTAATATATTGTATTTTTAGTAGAGACGGGGTCTCACCATGTCGACCAGGATGGTCTTGATCTCTTGACCTCGTGATCCACCCGCCTTGGCCTCCCAAAGTGCTGGGATTACAGGCTTGAGCCACCATGCCCGGCCAAGATGACAGGTTTCTTTTTAAAGGTTAGCTTGGTTAAGAAAAAACTGGTTGACAGTAATGCTGTCTTTACAATAAGAGTAAAGAAAATAAACTTGCCTAAATATTTTATATGACACTGTTGTTTTCTGTGTTTTGCTAAGATAGTATATTTAGGATACAACACAAGATTGGTTGGTTTTAATTATTTACAGGATTTTTAAGATTTCATACATTTCTACCTAGGAACATAAAATTGGGAATGCTAGAAAAAGTAAGAAGTTTTAGCTCAGTCACTTTCAAAGGAAACTGGTTTGATTGTCTTATATATTTAAATATTGGTACTTTAAAAGAGATTGTACTAGGTTGGTATTTTCAAAGGTTTATTTTTCAGAGCACTGACCTTTGCCTATATGCTTAACAAAATAAATTTGCAAAGTCAAATATGTTTTGGAAAAGCTGTATTTTTATAAACCTTTCTCAGAGCTTCACAATTCACATTGGCATACAAAGGTTCTAAGAAGTCTTGTGATAAACTTATTTATCTTTGCTTTTCTCACTATTTGCCAAAGTTATTTAACTGTAGACACCTTTTTTTTTTAATTTTTATAACACCTATTAACATGCTAGAGAACTGGTGTTCCACAGAACACAATTTAGGAATTTTTTGTGGGGGGGGGGGTGGTATTATGAACTGCTTAAAAACGGATTTTTTTTTTTTTAGCACTCATAGTATCTATAGCAAAACAGAGATAAATTTAGGTACCATGTAACCAATGTGACCTTAGCTGCCCTAGTGTTTGTGATAGCACTTCAATTTTTTAAAGCCACTGAGCTCTACCAACAAAATGCGATTGTTTATGTGTAGTTTTGTCAAAAGGCCACATTTCCTTGGGAAACTCCAAAGTATGATTTTATGTTCCACAGATGACCACCAGCAGCAATCTTGGCTAGGCAATTGTGGAGCTTGGCTTACAACTTCTTGCATTCGCTTAACTGGTTTCTCTAGGATATTTCACTTGCTTTTACTACTTTTCCTCTGAGGATTCTCCCTTAATTTCCCAAAGAATGGAAAACAAGTAATCTTTACTAAAACATCTCTGAAAGCTTAGGAATACTAGGAGTATAACATAGAGACAGCCTTCCAAATGTGACTAAGGGACCCAGAGTGCAATAGCCATTGGCTTTCCCAGGGCTGCTGGTTAGAAGGAGCCCTGTCATCAGGAATCTCCAGGCACCTCCTGACCATGGAGCCCCGTGGCTATCATCTTGGGGCAGGAAAGAAGACAGGCCTCATAATGGGAGGGAAAACTCCTTGCAGGGTCCAAAGTTTGAGTTAGGCAAAAATCCCCTCTATAATCTGCAAGATACGGCCTCTTCCCCAGAGCCCAGACAAAGCCATCACACAAGGTAACTTTTTCCATTTCTTATTTTGCCATAAATAATTCCATGTCAACCCCCACAATCCAATGTAAGTGATGGTACACAGAACAGCAAATTTTTGTTAGTCTTTCCCTTCTGTGTGAAATAAAGATAAAAACAAGCCTCCATTTATCTCTTTCCTTCATCTCATAATCTTTTATGAGTACATGCTTGGACCAGAAAGGCACGCACATGTTGCATGGGCACATATGCACGTTCACTCTTCCAGAAAGACTATCCAGAAACACAAAAGATAACCTTTTTTTGGACTTTAGGATTCACTCAGCTAAAGTGAAGATGCATCCACTTTATAATACTCATCAGAACACTTTCACAAACTGCAAAGTCTTAAAGTCACCAATCACATTTCAGGAAAAACTATTCTCCATTTCCTTTCTATTTGTGAAACTAAGACCATTTTGGCAACTCAATTTAAAACAAGTTTTCTCAAAAAATGACATTATATCTCTGCTTTAAGTCTAGCTTTGTATTACACTTTTAAGAAAAAATTATAGCGATGCATGGTGGCTCATGCCCGTCATCCGCTACTCAGGAGGCTAAGGTGGGAGGATCACCTGAGTCTGGAGTTTGACGCTGCAGTGGGTTGCGATGGCACCACAACACTCCAGCTTGGGTGACACAGTGAGGTGAGACCCTGCCTCAAAAAATAAATTCATAATGATAAAGTCTATCAGACATTTCCTTGTGGTTCGCTTATCCCAGAGTCATTTTTCTGGTAACTTGGGTATTAGCAAAATAAGTTTTTGATCAACAAAAGTAGATATAAAGTGTATGTGTATGCTTTACAATCTTATCATAAAAGAACTTTCTCAGGATACTTACTGCTACAGTTTGAATGTTTGTCCCCTCCAAACTCATGTTGAAATGTAAATTCCATTGTAGCAATATAAGGAGGTGGGACCCTTAAGAGGTGATTAGGTCATGAAAGCTCCACCCTCATGGGTGAAATGAATGCCATCATAAAAAGGCAAGTTCGGTCCCCTCTTGCCCTCTTTTTGCCCTTCTGCCTTCCACCATGTGAGGATGCAGTGTTTAAGGTGCCATCTTAGAATCATAATTACCAAACCTGCCAGTGCCTTGATCTTGGACTTCTCAGCCTCCAGAACTGTGAGCCAATAAATTTCTGATCATTATAAATTATCTAGTCCAAGGTATTCTGTTATAGCAGCACAAAACTGACCAAGACAGGTACTTAGAGCCTCTATTTTCTGTTTTTTTTTTTTTTTTTTTTTTTTTTTTTTTTGAGACGAAGTCTCACTCTGTTGACAGGCTGGAGTGCAGTGGTGTAATCTATGCTTACTGCAACCTCCGCCTTCTGGGTTCAAGTGAGTCTCCTGCCTCAGCCTCCCGAATAGCTGGTATCACAGACATGCACTACCACGCCCAGTAAATTTTTATATTTTTAGTAGAGACGGGGTTTCACCATGTTGGCGACGATGGTCTTGATCTCTTGACCTCATGATCTGCCCGCCTCGGCCTCTCAAAGTGCTGGGATTACAGGTGTGAGCCCCTGCCCCTGACCTATTTTCACTTTATAAATAATTTAATTTGCTTGTGCTTAGCTGGTTTTACATTCCACAGCAGGTTTGATACAGGAGTGCAGCACAGAAATTAGAGGTGTGCTCTAAGAGGTGGGGGTTTGAACTGTGGCAGTGCAGCTGTCTGCTAGCGACATACCCTGGGGAAGTTACTTAATCTCCTGGCAGTTTTCTCATCTGTAAAGTGGGTGTGCCTGCCTCATAGAGTTGTGATGAGAATAAGATAAGACCTTTAAATTCTAGACCTTGGGGCATAAGAAGCACTATCATAATTGTGAAGTGGAGTGGAGGAGAGCTGCCAGAAGCAGGCGCTCTGACAACAGTAAGACGTGACTATTTTCAGCCAGACAGTGAGAAGACACCATCTGTTTAGTAATCTGTTCTAGAATTTTCCTAGGATCTACGTCAAGTAGTCTTGATTTTTAAAATTCACCTTTTAGCCCATTCTGAAAAATGAAGCATTAGTCAATCTATCCTCCAGAATCCCCTAGTTCCTAAATTTCTGTGATCTCTGCAGAAATTATCCCTAGTTCCAATTACCCATTATTCCATTACTCCTGCTTACAATTTGTCATTGGCCTAAAAACTGGCACTCTTTTAAAGTGACAAAGTGAAGTCCAACTCTCTCATCAGCTATTCAGTGCTTAGTTCTTTCTTTGGTACATGTTCATTTCATCTTTTTCATGTTGACTATAACCTTCCTTAACAAAGAACCTAAAGTTGAATTGTTCTCATTTCTTGAACAAGATTCTTGTCTCCAAATTGTTAGCCAGAACATCAAAGATAACCTTTTTTGGACTGTAGGATTTCACTCGGCTATGAACAATTTTTACTAGAAAACCTTATTTTTGCTGCCTTTGACAATTTTATAATTTTATAACATTTTATCAATTTATAAATTTCCTCTAAGTTTCTTGACAATCTTCTAACAAGCTGACTCCATTAATTATTTTTTAAATCTTATGTTGTATATGTCTTTTATACATGCCTGTCTTTTTCTAAACTAAGCTCATTTGAGAGCTGACTCCCTATGCAGCTACATAGGTGTTTTTTGTTTTTTTTTTTTAAAGAAACATCTCCCTTTTTGCATCAATGTAGCCTCAATTGTATTGATAGAATTTTACCTATTAGAATTGTATATTCATCCTCCTTGAATCATATTTTAGAAGTCTTTGGCTATGGAATCAAAGTTGATTTTTTAAGAGGCAGATTTGGTTCCTTATAGCCCATGGTAAGTGTTTGGTTATATAAAAAATTACTTTCACACCCGAATTGTATTCCAGGAACTCCTAGATATCACAGGATTTCTCAAGGGTTTTCTTACTACCACCTGATCAACCAGTTTTTAAATTTTGGAATCAGAATTAAGCTAACAGTTCCCCTCTCTACTCTTCAACCTTCCAAGAGAAAAAATTGTTATATATGCTAATGAAGAATCTATCAGTTTTCCCTTTCTTGTGCACTTAGGTTTTAGTACCAAAATTCAGTAACAATGGAGAGACTTTCCCTTAGAAAATCAATGAGTTGCAGTCAGCAATGGGAAATGAAATAGGAAAACAGTAAAATAGAATAGAAAAACAGCTGAACACACTGCACAGAGTAGGAGTAAGTATTTTGTGAAACTTTTGTCTTAGTTTTATGTATGTGTAACATTGTGGGCTGTTGTATGACATAAAATGTATTTCATGGTGCAGTTTATGGACTAAAAACTCTGAAAACCACCAGTTTTAGATGATAATACATTATTTGCATTGTCATAATGACAAGTACAGAACATAATTTTTAAGATCAAATCACATTTAATACATATGTACATATATAATAAAAGTGTAGCACAAAACAAAAAACAGCTATTTTGTTGATTTTTACCATTTCATCTGTCAGTAGAAGGAAGATGGTTTAAGAATTTAGTAGCTGTATTTTAGCTAAAAATATATGACAACTCATGTTTTTGGTGTCTTAAAAGAAATACATTTTTTTGTGAAAAGATATTTCTAGATTTCAGAACTCCATATTAGTACTAGGATATCTACTAACTTGTTAAATTGAATTACTGAATATCCATAGACATCAAGCAATACATGAAAATGCCCTACAGTATCCAATTTTGTGTTTCCAATTATTTTCTATAAAGGGTGACTGGTGGCCATGTGGTAAAGCCCTGGAACCTGTCTTCCTACCACCTTATGACCCTAAGAGCACGCAGAGGAGTGACTTCCAAAAACCATCATATCCACTGGTTCTGCCAGTCAAACACAGCAAGATGCAAAAGCCTTCTTACGGAATAGGTAAGGTTTTGCAGTGGTAAAAACCTTTTTTGTTATCTCAAGCTATTGCTATCAAAACTAAGATGTATTAGATGTGCCAACACCTCCTGAAAAAAATTACTTCCTTACAGAAGTTGAAAATGTACACACAGCTAGTGCAGCCCTTGGAAAGCTTATTATTTCTTCCTAGCAGACAGTTTGTCTCCAAACACAGTTAATATGCGATAATGAAAATTGTACTGATCATTCATAACACCAGCCTCAAAGTCAGAAATGTAGTAGTATTCTGCTCATTATTGTTGCCACCACATTTTAATAGTTATAACTCTTGTCGCTTCAAGGAAGGCAGGCTATTGATGAAGGGGGTTATTAGATAATCTATAACAATGATCTGTCCTTTAGAAAGATAAAGTTTCCGCTTCTGGTTCAGGACAGTAGACAGAACACATACATTGAAATTCCCTGCCTTCTAAGACCCTAATACTATGAATAGTAGCAAAGCAATAAACTCATAAGGGTGAAGAGAATAGACGGAAGAACTTTCTGGAATGTAGGAAAGAGTAGAAGCCTATTAATAAATAAAAGAGAATGAAGAAATAATACCTAGAAGGAAGATGCAGCAAATAAGAGGCAATCTGACTAGCCAAAGCCCTGACTGAGCTATACGTCAAGCCAGCAGGCATAGCGGAAGTCAAGAATAAAAAGTGGGTAGGAGACAGTCAGAGAGTTACTTCAAAGCCTGTCCCTTAAATAAAGGCTCCAGTTATGAGCACTCCACCCTATCCCAACATGAAGACTACTAGAACCCAGTGTCTTAGCCAGATGTCAACTATCACACCAGTCGTTTTGGTCAATCAAGCCAATCCCCCCCCACCTCCGCCATCTCCTTCTTAATTATGAATGGACAACCAAAGATTAGAATTAGGCCAATTTTAAAAAAGGATTTGGAGGATAAAGGCAAGGAAATATCACAGAGCATGAAACAACAAAACAAAAACTTAGAAAATGAAAAGGAAAGCAAAATAGAGGATCTGTTTGGGATCCAACTTTTCTGAAGAAATCCAACTTTTCTGAAGCTCCAGAAAAGAGAATAGTAAAAATGAAGGTAGGTAATTAGCAAAACATAACATTTATTGAGCATATACTGTTTGCCAGGCATTTTATGGAACTTTCTAAATATTAACTTATTTAATTCGCATATTAACTCTATGCAATATAATAGTGTAGTGGTACTATAAATATTCTTATTTTTCAGATAAGAAAGTGTAGGGAGGCAAAATTTTACCTCTACCCTCTTAGTGTTTTTGGCTGGGCTTGAGAATTAAATTGACAAAAAAATCAATAGGAGAAAAGCATACAAATTTATGTAATAAAAGCTTGATACAGCAGGGGAGCCTTCATAAGGAAATGAAGACCCAAAGACATAGGAAGAACATATATACTAAATTGGACCAAGAGTAGTAAATTGTAAAAATGGGACAAGGCAAAGGAGTTTGGGCTAGGATAATTGGGTAGAAAAGTGACTAGGAAGATAAGGGTGAGTTTAACAAGGTTTGTTTATATAGATTTCCCCCCACCTCAAATTCCTGTTAGACACAGGAATTTCATCTCCTGCTTTTGAGAAAGAGAAGAAAGGTCAGAATGTTTTTCTTGCATCTGTGCCTTTAACTTGTATCAAGTGCCTTTAACTCAATATAGTCTATGCTAGTGGCATTTTAGAGTGGCATGTTCTGAACTCCTTTGAAAGCAAGCATGTAGTTAAAATAACTTGCCCAAGGCTACACAGTGAATAATTGGTATTTGAACCCAGAGAGCCCGACTTCAGTACATATACTCATAACCGGTACTATACAGTACTCTATACAACCTCTAAAATAATAAGAAAGTTTCCCTATATAAAATGCATTAAAAGGGTCTACTGAGTGCTTCTAAGTATGAAGGGGAAAATGATACACACCCTACATACATTACAAAATTGCAAAACAATAATCATAAGCAGAAGTTTCTAAAAGCTTCCATAAAGAGATAGAAAAATAAGGCACCATCTAAGAAGTATCAACATGGAGTCAGGCAGCACTGATGCAAGAGTGCAATGGAGTTAATGCGTTCAAAGTTCTCAGGGGAAATACTTTTTGACCTAGAAAAGGGAATTCATGTGGTATGGATACCAAACCTTTTTCTTTTAAAGTGGCACTGGGCATTAGACCCACTGAAAAGAAAATGATGTCCTGGCACAACGTTTGACCCTTAAATAAACAAAATACATGTAATAATGTAATATTATGCATGCTATTTAGTAGTGTTCAACTTTTAGGCTCAGTCTATAGACACAAGCTTAAATACGGCTACAGAACAGAATATATATTCGCAGCTTTAGTAAGAAATGTACATAATTGACAGAAAATGAGAAGGAGAGAAAAAGGGTGCTAAAATCATTATTTACGATATAGGTAATCAAGAGACACTATCCGATGGGGATGAAACAAGGAATAGAAGTTTAAGATTAAAGGTCAAAGGAACCAGTCTAAAAACCAAATTTATCTCTCTAACCTTGGCTTCTTTACTGAGCTTCAAGTTCACATTCCAAACACCTACTTAACATCTCCTCTGGGATAGCTAGTCACCTTTTTAACTTGATATGACTGGAATAGAATATTTCATGTCCCCCATCCAAACTTATCCCCCACGGGTCTTCTCCATCTCAGTGAATGCCACCTCCACTCTCCCACCAGGTGCTCAAGTTTTGATAAGCTAGAAGGCATTCTAAAACTCTCTCTTTTTGCTGCCTCCCCTACATTCAATCCATCAGCAAATTTTGACACTCAATCTCTAAAACAGACCCCAAGTCCATTCCTTTCCATCTTCATTGTAACCAGTGCAGTACAGCCGATATTACCCTGCTTCCTTTCTTCCTCCTCCGTATGTATTTTCTGCATCGTCAAAGGATCTTTTTAAAAGACAAATGATATTCTTCTTTAGGTTCTCCAGTTACTTCTCACTGTTCATAGAATGAATTTCAAATTCCTCACTGTGGCCTACACAGCCCTTTTTGATCTGTCAAAATCACCTGTATTATCTTGTATTGCTCCTAATTTAGAGACAGAAAATGGAACTCAGACCAAGGAGGTAGAGACACTTTCTGAAAGTCAAGCTTTTTTCCAAACCAGAAAGCTTGTGTCTGGGTCCTTGTTATTGTGTTTCCATATTTTAATTACATATTCTTGTAAATTAAAATCTGAGTAAGAAAACAGTTGTTTCTATAAAATATTCAAAGTTGAATGTGCAGACTTGATAAAAGGTAAATTGCTAACTTTAAAAAATGCTCATTAGGCATAGGCAAAGTAACTAAGAGGAGTTGGACTGAATTCTTTAAATCTTGAAGGATTCTGCACTCATTTTACTTGAAAGGTGTCTTTATGTTTGCATTCTGTGTGAAAGAAATAGAAACTGGAAATGATGCATTAGAAGTATGCTTTGTACAAGAGACACAAAGGTGAATTCCAATCAGTGGACACCTCCTCAAAGTGGATTGGCATGCAAATAAAAATGTGATGAACTGGTTAAAAAAATACGTAATATATAACATTATATATATTATTTATAATGTTATAACATTTTATATATATTATATATCATATATCATATATGGATATAATATATATCATATATATATATTTTTTATATGGTATATGATTTTTTGCTTTAACTAACTTTCTTTAGTAACCAACCACTCCTTTCCTTATAAGGAGCAGCTATGGTACATCTGCTACTCAAGTTGAAGGGATGTAGAAGAGTGGTGAAAGATGATACTTCCGCTACTCAAGTTGAAGGAACTTTACAGTAGAGTGGTGAAAGATGATACTGGAGAGATGGGCTTTGCTCTAGATTGATAAGGCAGAGTTCAGTCATTTCGAAAGGGATCCCCCAGAATCAGGGTCTGTAGATCTGGTCTGTTTATCTACTTAATTTGCACAGAGAGAAATCCTCCAAACCTCTGCCTAGGATAGAGGACAGAAAATCCATGAGTCCCTTAAGCAGTCCTTGCAATGTCACCTTGTCCCCCTGCCCCATGCTCCCTGACTCAGAGGTATCTGAGGCCTCCCTATTCTGGAGCATTCCTGGAAAGCTGTGGCATGAATTGGCTTGATTTTTACCCCACCTCCTTCACCATAGCACTTAACTTTTAGTTTTCTGTAGTTTACTTGAGTCTATTGCCACTTATCCATCTGTTTTCCAGCTTCCAAACTGGTTAACATCTGCACTCCCATTTAGTTCTTTTTTTCTTTAAGTATGTAAGCCCTCTTAATTTCTGTAGTGTGACTGTATTGGGGCCTGGGGAAGGAATGGGAGAAATGTATGTTGAATTTGCCATGTTTAATTGGAAATCACAGTAACTTTGTCACCATCAACACTCCTTTTATAATTTAATATTGGTTCAGTATTAAACTTAGTATTGTGTGAGCCTGAACCCATTAAATTTAATCATCCTGTTTTCCTCAATTTATGAAGTGAGAATAGTAATTTCTACTTTGCAGGACTGTCGTGAGAAACAAATGAAATAACATGTAAAGTGCCTAACACAGTATTTGCTACATAGTAGACAATAAATGGTAACTGTTTTTATTATTAATTATTGCACTGTACTACCTTATGTGTTGAGTTGAAATTTAGCTTGAGAACCTGGCATAGTTCTTTCTTTCTCTCTTCTTTTATTGGTATTTCTTTTTCTCTCTCTATTCTTTTGTTGGTATTTCTCATTGCCAAGTTCATTATTGTATCCTAGGGTCTAATATAATGCCCAGATTCAATAAATATAGTTAAATGATAATTACACATTCTTCAACAGATTAAAGTCATAATATAAAGTGACATATACAATATAGGCCTGCAATTTATTCATATTTTAGGTGGTATTTGGATATTAGATGAAAATGATTTTTAAGAAAGAAAATATTTTAATGTAACATTAAAAAATATGTATTTAAACTAGTCTATATGGGCCAGATTTTTTACTATAAGCA